AGAAACCCCGCCCCGGCACGGGCCCGCCTCCTGGCCTTGCCCCGTCTGTCTCCCGAGACCACTCTTCAGTGGGTTCCACGCACGTCTCGTCCCACTGGAAAAACACAAGGCACCTGAGGGCCTCCCACGGCCACGTGGCCTCCCACCCAAGGACAACCGTCTCCAGCAAAGCGTCCTGTCCAGCGGACAGATGACCCGGCCTACCTCCCATTCAGTGACAAATTTATAGAAGCTGCGCTGGAGGTGAAACGAACTAGTAGAGCAGAACCAGTCAAGTCTGTCGGGAAGGGCTTTTACCCTTCGACAGAATTCCACCGGGAACAGAGCTCCTGAGGTCCCATTTCCCCTCCACACTGCTCCTTTTTCGACTGTATCTTTCTCACAATACTTTGAGCTGGATTTCAGAGGAAATATTTGATCATGCAATTAAGGGGTGTCTAGGTACTTGGCGAGAAGGTGGGAGTTTGGGTATCTTTCAGGCTGTTCAGAATTACTCTTGAAAAGGAAATTAGATAGAGCATATGGAAAAGCTTCACCTACTGTTCAGTACTATTACTTGTTAAAACTACTTTTCAAAATTACTTTCCCCCTGGTGCCTAGCACAGAATAGTTTCTGAACAGCTGTTCATGGACTGAAAAGATCATTAGTGTTTACTTCTGATTAAAATCACTTAAGGGCAAGGCCAAGCAGCACAGAGCCCCTGCGTGATTGGAATGGGAGAGCTGAACACCCCAGACCCTCAGGATTCCAGGGCAAAGCCCAAAGGAGGTTGTCAGTACACTCCCTCGGAAGAGGTCTAGGATTAAGCAACAGCCTGAGAAGCATGAAGAAACACTTTGTGAACTAGCATTCTTTGCTAATGAGAAACCAGAGGAGAAGAGACTATGTGGCTGGCTAGTCTACCCTTACAGTTTGGCCAGGGTCATTTCTCCAACCATGTCAGGTCCATGAGCTGAAGACCACCAACTCGGGGTGTCATGTCAGCAAGCTCTTTCCCAAGCGTCACTGAAACGTGCTTCACTGTGTGTTCAGCTCCATCCGCCAGTGTTGCACCCGTATCTCTGGTATTGAATACAGCCATAACTTAGGCTTATTTTGTTCATTCAAAATGTACAGTTCCTTTCTACAACTTACCCCCCCCTCCCCGATTTCTTTCTCCCCAGCCACCCACCTCACCATTTCCTTATCTACTCATCTTAAGGCCACCTTACCCAACTTCAGCCTTGGACCCTTTGACCTCTTTAAGGTGCCCAGTATCCACTCCCCAGACACATGTTCCTTTCTGTCAGTTGCCCACAGTTCATAAAAATCCAGTGTAAGCACTGGTGCCAAAGGAAAAGATGTAAGACCTAAGAGACGGATGTATTTGTGAAAGTCCGACTTCACTAAAGATCAAATTTCTCAAAGGAAATGAGACTAAGTTTACGACCTGATTCATTCAACACTAGTAATTTTATTTCAAAATATAAATATTTTACATTTACAAAGAAGTTACATCAGTAGGTTGTCTAAGCAAGTTAAAGCTAAGAAACAGCATTTGTGAGAGAACAAAGGTGTACTGTATTTGAATGCTCTTTTTTACTTCCACACCATCTCTACTTTGCCTGAGAATGCAGAGATGATACAGTTTCCAAAATTACATAAGCAATCACAATTACATATCCAATCTTGGTTTCAAAATCAAATGGTACTTGTAATACACTCCAGTCACCTAAATGAATGGCAGCGCAAGGGACAAATGAAGGGTTTTCTTTGGGATAGCTACAGTAGCAGTTACATTTTCTGAGTCACTGCAATAAAGAAGAAACAGTGTTTGATAATAAGCCAAAACGATGTTACTTTAAGAACTGCTTCTGCACCTTTCACTGTAAAATATAAAGCTAGAAGAAAAATAAGAAACCAGGCATGAGTAACTGTGGACTTGGAGTCAGAAATTCTGAAACTGAATTCTGGCTCCATCATTTTGTGGTATAAACTTAAATGGAAAAAAAAAATCACAAAAACCTTTCTGAGCCTCCAGGGCCTCATCTGATAATACTTAACACCTGCGTACCTCACAGGCGTGTTATGAAAGCAGTCTGAAAACTATAAAGTGCCATACAAAAGCATTATTAAAATGTAATATCAATATATCACCACTGGATTTGCACATTAATGGATCCTTGAAAAACTTGCAAAACTAAACACAAATACTGATTTTACACACCTTAGGTAGAAAGACTCTATACGTATAGCTCTGAAGGGCAAATGTTTTTTCTAGTATTGCAGTAAACTTTGAGATTTATTACATTACAGGGTACCATGGTAACAGATTTACCTTTCAGCATTCCCTTTAAGGGCGTCTTCTACAGGAGCTGTAAACTTACTGTAGAGCCATGTTTCCCAAAGGACCAGCAGTACTTTGAGATGCTCTGAGGAAAGGAGGGTGGGGGCAAAGTCTAAGGTCCAGTAAGTCTAAGCACAGTCTTTGTCCCCTCTTATAAACTCACAATATATAATAGCACATTAAAAACTCAGAAGTCCCACAATTACATATCCAATCTTGGTTTCAAAATCAAATGGTATTTGTAATACACTCCAGTCAACTGAGCAAATGGCAGTGCAAGGGACAAAAGGAGGGTTTTCTTTGGGATAGCTATAACAGGAGTTACATTTTCTGAGTTTAAAAAAAAAATTTTTTTTTAAATCCTGACCCAAGGATATTTTTTCCATTGTTTTGCAGAGAGAGTGGAAGGGGTGAGGGGGAGAGAGAGAGAGAGAGAAACGATGATACGAAAGAGACACATCAATTCGTTGCCTCCCCCACGTGCCCTGACAGACCCGGGGATCAAGCCTGCAACCGAGGTACATGCCCTTGACTGAAATTGAACCCGAGACCCTTCAGTCTGCAGGCCGATGCTCTAACCATTGAGCCAAACCGGCTAGGGCCACTTCTCAATTTTAATTGACCTTGGAGTCCCCTCCTCCCATACACACTTCCTTCTCTTATCTCATAACATCCCTTTGACCTACTGCTATAAGAAACATGTTTCTCCAAAAGCTACTCAACTATGAGGAAAAGGGGAGAGAAGTAGAACAATGATCTGAGGGGGGAAAAGAACTGTATTCTACTCTGAATTCTGTTCCTAACTGGCTCTGTGTGTTAGAAAAGCCACTTGAACCTATGGATTTGCTTCCTTCTCTAGAAAACGATGAATCACCCAATTATTACATAAGGCCCATTCTAGCACACAGTGTCTATGGCACTAGTAGACAGTTTAAAAATAAAAGAACTGTAATCAAGTGTATCAAAAAATAACTGCTCAGTAGTTTCAGAGAGTACGCACATTTTTTCCAAGTCCTCAGCAAGCTAATAAACTGAATATATTTTATGGCAAATTATGTAAAGGCAACAAGTTAATAAAAACAAAAGTACCTGTTCTTAGCTGGAACCGGCATTTGGAAGTTTGCTGTCAGAGGCTATTTCCACTGTGAAATGCCCACTCTCATACTCTTGTGAGGGCCCTGGAAGACCCTTAGAGGAGGCTACAGGTCAGGACCGGAGTATGGGAAGTTCCGCAGGGTTTTTTTCTATAAACCTGAGGTTGAAAGCTCTGGATAGCTCACCTGAAATTGCTTTGCTCTGATCTAACCCTCGTGGCCTGAATTTCTGAGTATTCCTTGCCCGACAGTGACACATCCTGAAGCACTAAATACAATGAAAGTGAGAGATGGTGGTACGAGGGAATCCTGAAGGCGGGGTCACGGTGGGTTCATGTGAAGACCAAGGTTAGCCAAGGAACTTATCTGCAAGGCCTTGAGCAGCCTTTTTTAACTGGAATAAACAGCTGCCATTTCCAAGGGCTACTGAGTTTGTTTAAATACAGCATCTGCACAACAATTCCTGGGTGTCCTCCCACTGTCGAGTAGATGCGCAGCAGTCTCAGAAGTCCCGGGAACGCTCTGCCAGCTAACTGCCTCTACTGGAGGAGGGTGTTAGGATTCCTTGCAGATTTAAAAATAAGTAAGACTGGTATCTAAGGCAGTCCGACCGACATCACTTCCAGGAGCACAGCGTGGTGAGAATTTTGGCACTGAGGCAGGACTTATATATGGAGTTTTTGCTGAATGCCAGCTGCCTGTTCTCTCTGAGGAAGAGAGGGGCACGTTTGTGTTTGCAACTGAACGGTGAATGGGAACTTTAATCTTAAATCAAGCTGTAAAATGGAAGACATTGCGATAGGAACTCTGTTCTCCGTTTCAAATGAAACTACTTCTATTTATCAATGTGTTTTCTCTTTTCTGGGTCAGATCCTAACTGGGGATCTGAGGGCTGGTCATCTTTGAGACTTGAGCTCGAGACTCCTGCCTTTTCATACCACCTGATCTCCTTGCCCTGTGAAAGTCCTGCACAGCCTCATTCTTTCTATGAGGGGCGTGCTTCTGTTTTTGAAGGTTCCAGGAAGGCCTCCCCTAGCCGGTCAGCCTTCCCAATCCTGAGGCAGTTGCTGCAGCGCTGGGCCACTTCAAGTTTCCTGATCAGGACCGTGTAGCACTGTGAGGCACCTCTGTTCCTGACACTGCAGGGTGATACTACATCATTTTCGCAGTTCAAACCTATTCTCTTAGAGCTCGGAGTTCCCCCTCTAACAACCCGGTATTCCTATGAATAATTATGACCAGCTACAGCCACACATTAGCTCAAGTTTAGTTTTTTGCACTATCACTTTGTACAGCTAAAAGCACTTTGAAAGAACATAATCTGTATATGCACCCTAACTCATTGTGTATAGTACCTACCTCTTGTGAATATGTGCTAATTACAGCTATAAACTTACCAGTGTACTATTAACAAAAACAAACCTGATTTCTTTTTTAATCCCTTTAATGAAAAATTTTTATTTTAGCAATACATATGATCTGGCTAAGATTTAACATGAGAGGAGACCCTCTTATGAGTTATCCCCCACAGCACCCTGTACAGCACCTGGCATGAAACCTCAAGTTTGGCAAACTCTCTGCAAATGTTTTACTGAATAACTGATTAAACAACTAAAGAAAATAATGAGTTATTTAGTGGCCAAATGTAACACTTGGTATTATATCATATTATTATTGTTGAAGGAAGGATTCATAGTAAAAAAATAAGAGATCTGCACATAGTCTACTATATAAAGACCTCAGGGTAGCCTCTCTTCTAGATGGAGTTTTTCTTAATATCAGGATATATTTAAGCTAATTATCACTATGCGTCTTAGTGAGAAGGTGTTTTAGAAAAAATGATTTCTACTTTTAAGTGTTTTCCAAAAAGGTGATCTCTGACACTTAAGAGCTCTTTCTCCTCCATATCACCCTAGGGGCAGAGAAAAAGCCTGAGGATTGTTTTATACAGTGGAAAGGGCACAAAGCTAAGAGTTGGGTTCTGGTCCCAGCCCTGTCATTAACTGTAGGACAAGTCCAAGGACACCTATTCTATCTCACAGCACTGAGAAAACTATAAGATAGTGGGAGAAACACTACAGGATAGGAGAGTTCACAGGCTTATGGAGTCAGACTTGAGGTCAAATCTTACTAAACGTGATGACTTCGAGTTGGTTACTCTTCTGAACCTTAGCTTCCCATCTGTGTGAAACTGTTATAAAACAGCACAAAGTTGTATGAAAAGTTAAGTGAAGTTGTTGTGAAATAATTATACGCATAGAGACTTTATAAAATGTAAAGCACTATGCTGGTTACTATGATATCTGACGAATTTTAAAAGTCAAGATGTAATTCAACAAGCATTCATCTAGAGTCTTATGTGCAAGGCACTGTGCTAAGTGATGGGGAAATACTATATATATATAAAATTCATAAGTAACTAAGTGGCAGAATTCCAAATGGTGAACCAGGGATACATTTAACAAGTCAGAGTACTGCTGCACCTGAGATTTTCACTTAAAACATTTGGAAAGAAAAAAAATCACAACATAAATTCTATCATATTGTTACCATTAATAGCAGCTTACACTTATTTCACTTCAATGTGGTCAGTCTGCCAAGTTTTAGAAATTTGGCAACATTGTAATGGGGGATGCAGAAGGCAGGGGAGAAAGGTTTTCAGTCTGTCTGTCTCTCCTATGGTTACAACACACAACTAACTGAACTTGAAATGAAGCCACCCGCCCTAGAGGGAAGATTGGTTCTTTCTTAGAGAGGACCATACACGGTGGGAAGAGGGTAGAATGCACCTTCTTCCTACCCAAACAACTACGTACTCAAGAGTGAAAGCCCTTTGCATTGAAAAGTGACTGTCGTAGAAAAGTTTATGAACAGATTTCTTAAAACAGGAGAAAAATTACATCATATGCACTTAGTTTAGGGCTCTCAAAAATAACTTTATAAATACATATTATAATAATATAGATAAGCAAAGGGGGAAATTTTCAAGCCATGGTACCAGTGTATAAAATGAAACTTTTCAAGCCATCTGAGCAACAGTTAGGTGAGCAAACCACACATTTCGGAGCTCTAAAGCTGTGCTTTAAAATGCCAAGCAGCCACAGCAAGTTCGCACTTGTCCACGCATTCTGTATGGAGGGCCAGGAGACTTCTGCTTCTTTCCCTAGGCTCTGCTTGCTAGGCACAGCAAAAGGACAGGAGGCCACAGCTGAGCTGAACTCACGGTCAAGGATGAACTTCCTAGATACCCACTGAAGTGGAAGCCATGTCAATCTACTGAAGATTTCAGATCTTCAGAAATGTCACGGAAAGTCCTATAAGAAGAAAAAATAAAATTCATTTTGCTTTTGGAAATGAAGGAGGTGGGAGGAAGAAAACCACAGAGAAACTAAGATTTATAAATGTACTGTGATATATTGAGAATATGAGTTCCCTGCCAATATGTACGTGGTTGAATTTCACATGTGAAATGTAAAAAAGAAAGGAAAAACAGCATCTTACCACTAATTAACTGCCATAGAATAATACATTATTTTTATAATCTGAGAGCCTTGATGAGGTTATATAGTCATTTTTCTTAATATTTTCACAGTTAATATTTTGAGTATTATTTCGAAGTTTGCTAGTTGTCTCTCATTCTTTAGTAACAAGAACTCCAGTTTTGGGGTTGTTTTTTTGTTTGTTAAAATTTTATTTGCTGAGTTCACTGTCTCCCACACAAAAGACTATTTCCCTTGAAATGAAGAATCATGTGACTAAGTTCTAGCCAATGAAATGTAAGTGTGAGTGTAGCATAACTTCTGAGCAGTGTCCTTAAAAGAGAAAGGGGATCTTCTTCCCTTCCCCCCCTTCTTGCTGGCTGCAAAGTATACACAGTGCTGTTAGAGAAAAACACTAGAAGATCAAAGATCAAAAGCTAAGTGAGGAAGTTTTATTACAAGACAGGAAACCTGACCCAGCAGAGTCTAAGCTCTGAGGGACGTGGTTCAGGGCAGGAGAAATGGGGTTAGGCCTTTTCATCAAACTACCTGTACTGAACGGTCTGACCCACATAGGCAAGCTGAGTGAACATTACTAACTGGCAGGTCACATCTGGGCTGCATCGAAGTGGTGTGCTGCATTTATGAGGAGCCTGCCTCGGGACTGTAGTAGCCAGTTTGCCTTTACTACATAATTTATATGCCCAGGCTGGGATCATGTCACCCAGTCAGGTCTGCATCAGTGCTGGCAGCCACCTGGCCAGGTCAGGGTTTATCAGTGAACATCAGCTCCAGCACCCATGTTAGGTGAAGAGACCTCGCACCAAGGCTGGCAGAACATCAAGAAGAGGGGAGGCTCGGCATGGACGTTTGTGGAAGTTATTCCAGCCCTGGACTGCCTACCTCTGGACTGCTTTCACATGAGAGAGAAATCAACTTCTAGCTTATTTAAGTCATTTGAGTTCTACTGATGGTGGGTTTTTTGAGTTTGTTCATTTTGGGTTATACGACGCCAAATCTATCTTAAAGGGTACAAGTCTGACGCAGAAGTTCATTACCATCCTTTTAGACAAAAGTTTCCTGGCTCCTTTGCAGCAATATCACCAATTAGGAACACAGAAAAACATCTGAGCTCAAAAAGCTTGTTTTCAAAACAATTTTAAAGTCTATAAGTTATACTATATTAATGTGTAGTCACATCACTACACCATATTGTTCCTTCTTAGATTATTTACCAAAAAAAGCCCATTTTATTTTCATACCTATAAGCAACTATTAAAAAGATTACTTCACTATTTCATTAGAAATAGACCTAAAATAGAATCTAAGAAAAGTGTTCCAAAATTTCAGGGAACCACTCACAGTTGTGGAAACAAAAGATGACAGAAAGCTGTCATTAGGGCCCTAGCTGATTTGGCTCAGTGGTTAGAGCATCCGCCCTCGGACTAAAAGGGTACCAGATTCGATTCCGGCCAAGGGCAGGTACCTTGGTTGCAGGCTCAATCCCCAGCCTCTCAGGCATGTGTGAGGGGCAACCAATCAATGTCTCATTCACATTGTTGTTACTCTCTCTCCCCACCGACCTTCCACTCGCTCTGAAAAGCAATGGAAAAAAATATCCTGGGGTAAGAGTTAAAAAAAATTTTAATAAAATAAAAAATTTTTTGAAGTTGTCATTAGGTACAAATCACTGAAAAATCCGCAAAGCAAATAATTCTGAATTTCAGGTGCAATTCCACACCCATGCCACCTCTTACATCTTTTGTCTTCCCAATTTTCAGTTCATATAAATATTTAGGAGGGTTAGCTAGAGAAGGCACAGGTAAATTAAAGACTAACCCTTTTGTACAATGCCAGGAGTACTTCAATATCAAGCAGGGCACAGGTAAAATGTTACAGAAAAGAGATTACATCAAGGGTGCTCAACTATCTCAAGGCTCTTTCAATGGATGGTGGGTGCTCTAAGCCTCTGAAGCACGCTTCCAACTAGCACAGCTCTACTTCCAAAGGAACAACTCTGAGGAAGAGGTCAGAGCTTCCCGGCCATGGCTCCAGTGGCTTTGAAAGGGTTTATGTGTGACATGGCCAAAACCACCATAGTGATAAGAATCAAAATGAATTGTTTCCTTAAATGATTTTATACTCTGAGAAAAAGTCCCCCAAACTACGATTTATACACACACACACTTTATACGTATTAATTTCTAACTGTCAATCAGATATTCTCAATAACATCACTATTGACATTTTCGTGCACTATAAGATGTTTAGCAGCATCCCTGCCTTTACCCACTAAAGTTGTGACAATCAAAATATCTCCAGACATCACCAAATATCCCTTGAGAGGAGCAAAATCACCCCCCCTCGCTGAACCATTGCTCTAGATATCTATTTATTTCTATACCAATTTTTTATAGTCTCACCAAAATTTGTATTTTAACATCTGTATAGAGGCAAAGCTGACTACCAACTGTCTCAGATGACAAGAATCTCAGGCAGCACTCAATTCTGGGAAGTCCTGGAAAAGCTTTATGACCAATAACCAAAACCTGGCCAATCTGCAAAATATTTCCAACACCCCACAGGTTTCTAAATTCATCCTTTGACATCTGTTCAAATTTCTACGATACCTGCAAGTGTGAATCTCTAACGAGTCAAACTATGAATGAAAAGTTATGCCTCAGGGCAAAGATGCATGAAATAAGATTAAGGCTGTGGTTGGCCTGGTGACTGCCTTCTGTTGACAAGTAAGCTTAGCTGTAACCTTGAAATTCATACCTACTATTCAATTCTGCCTCCAGGCCAAGAAAGCCTCCAAATGGACTCAGAAGAAAGAAAACAAAATTAAGCAAGCCGAGAAAACAGTCACTAAGAGTTTTCCATCTCAACAGCGTATCTGGGTGGTGATGGTGGTGTGTGTGTAAAATCCTCTAGACGTAACACTGACCTTAAACCAACTTCCAATTATCTCCTGGAAAACAAGCCCCATAACCTAGAGGTGCAGAAATCATTTCTTTAAAAAAAAAATTTTAACTGAATTTATTTAAACTAAAAATACAAAACAAAAACAGTTCATTCAACCCCATCTGCCCACTCCTCTCCCCTTGCAGCCACCAATCTGTTCTGTTTCTATAAGCTTGGTTTATTTATTTTTTTAAGACTTTTTTTTTCCTTAATCCTCACCTGAGGACATGCTTAGAGAGAAAGAGGGAGAGGAAGGGAGAGGGAGGGAGAGAGGAAGAAAGGGAGGGAAACATCCCTGTGAGAAACACTAATCAGCTGCCTTCTGTACCTGCCCCAACCAGGGATCAAACTGCAACCCAGGTACTGTATGTGCCCGGAAACTGAACTGGCAACTCTTTGCTGTGCAGGACGACGCTCAAACAACTGAGCCACTCCAGCTGGGTGGTTTATTTATTTTTTAGATTCCACATGTAAGCAAAATCAAAAGTATTTGTCTTTCTCTGATTTCTTTCTGGCCTCATCAAGAGGCACAGAGCTAACTAATTAACAGAGCTCATAAAACTGCAACTCTCTAGATTATGAAGAAAAAAAGAAATAAAGACTACACTGACAGGATTTCTAAAAATGGTAAATGTCTTATCTAAACTACCAAATTACAGTCTTCCATCCCAAACCATGAGGATTATTATGCTCCTAAGAACCACAGTGGCAGAAAAAGCAATGCAGAATGGGACCACATGTGACCAGGGGACAGAGGACAGCTGCTAGCATTTTAGTTCCTTTAATAGCAAAGGGGATTGTGCAATGTGGTTTCTCATTCACAGTACTTTGCTCATTGAAAATGTTCGGAGATCTGCTCCCCTAAAGTTTCAATGCAATTTTTAAAAAATTCATTTCTGTAAATCTTTAAATCTTTTCTGATTTAACAACTCAAGAGCTATTGACTCTTGGTCTCCCAGAGATGTGGAATAAACTTTGAATGAATGTTTAAAAATAAAAAGCTTTAAGTGACGATGAATTTAACTTCCGTTGGCTGGGCATAGCTAAGTGTGTATTTCTTAAACCCTCACCAGCACACAGGTACAAAACCTGCAATCACTCTTATATCATGTCATCACTATTATGCACATCCCTTCCCTTCCAACAAATATGGAGTAAATTTCTAAGGCTGGGTTTACTATGTTCCATCTGTTTTTATCAACCTCAAGTTTATATTGCAATAATCTTTTTATCAAATCTTCTCTTGGTTTCACTAACCTATTAATTCATCAGATTTTCACTGAGCTCTTTCTATGTGCCAAACACCATGCTAGGAATGGTAAAAGAGTGGCAAACAAGTCAGACATAGTTTCTACCTTCAGACAGCTACCAACTAGTGAGAAAGATAATTAATGAAACACACACTTATATAATATTAAGTTCAAATAGGAGAAGTACATGTTATAGGGACACACAGCAGGGACATCCTTCCTAGTCTACAGAGTTCCAGCAATGCTTTTCACAGGAAAAGTACTTAAGTATAGACCATGAGGCTGGATTTGGCTAGAAAGGGGGTGGTATTCTTTACAGAGGGGGAAATGTGCAAAGATGATACTGACTTCAGGGAACTAAAGTTCAATATGGCTAGAAAATAAAACACAAAGGCAGGCAGCAGAAACATGAGTCTGCAGAGGCAGGCAGACAGAAGGCATGGAAAGTTTATCTTGAAGGCCATGTAAAGCCACTGCAGGAATTTTAAGTATGGAGGCACAAAACATTTATGCTTCAAAAAAACACAGAGGCTGTGTGGGGGTGCAAAAATAACTTTCCTCATGTTAGCGTAGGTAGCTAGATATTAATAAAGAAAGGGAGCAAAGGGAACAGACATTATT